AAAATAATTTAGGGAAAACAAAAGAAAAATGAGGACTGAGTATACTTAACTGCCGTGGCTTGTAAACCTTTGTGAAACTAGTCTGACTCTACATGTGACTGTAATATCTGTTTCAGTTCACATGCCCTTTTGAGATGCTATAAGAAGTGTCTGTGTGTGTGGGAGGGGAGGGTGCGTCCCCTAGAAAGCAATAATCCAAAGCAACCACTCACTGTTAATTATCTTTCGCAGCTCCTATTTCAGTACAGCATCAAAACCAAAGCAGTGCCCACCATACAACTACACTTTACCTTAACTTCAGGTATCACCTATTATGATCCCATCGCATCCCCGAATTAATCAAATAAAGGCAAAATCCTACGCACCTTTACACAGGACAGAAAGTCTTACGGACAAGCTGGGTGAAGAATACTAGAAGCTGTAAGACTAAGTCAGTCTGCAGCTTAGCACTTTCTTTGATTAAGCGCTGCATCAGGACAGCCTCAGGCTTTGGACGAGGCATTTGAGTAAGTCGGACCAGCCCCGTTTGCATGGCCCCTGCCCTTCATGACTGATCGCACCACGGAGAGCGGAAAAACCTGGCTGGGTCCAAGAGGTTACACTTTCCTTATGAGAGGGGGGAATCCTTGGACCCGTAAGAGCTGAATGATCATAAGCCAGAGGCTAGCATCAGCCTCCCGGGCGAGGTGCTTGAGCAAGTGAGAAAGCGGCAGCCTCCCCACCACCCCCCCTTCTGTTCAAGTGACCTAATGTTTTGCTTTCACACTGCTGGGTATCAGAAGCAAATAGTGGCTTGTTGACATTAACACAGAAGAAATTGGGTTGCTTTTTGCTACTGCACCAGGAAATTGAAGCAGCAGAAATCATCAGTGCGCGTGTTGGGGTGACCGGAGCCACAAAAATGGCCCATGGATACATGGGCATGTCTCACATCGTCCACCCCCATTTAAATGAAATCTCTGATCTAAATTTCAGAGATTTAGAATGCAAGGTCACTGAGCAAGTGCAATTTCCAGAAGCTGCCCCACGTGCAGAAGAGAAATCGGCACTGTGTGAGCTCCGGTTCAGCTTCGTAGCAATGCCAGGGGGCCCTGCTTCTTGCCCCCCACTCAACGCTCCTGGCAAGACTTCCTCCAGAGTTTCAAATATTCTACCCGCCTGCACTGATACGGTATCTCTAAGAGAGACCATGTTTTCCTATTCCTTCTCACCTTGGGGACCATTTTATTAAACAATGTCCATATGCTACAAGAGCAACTGAAAAAAGGGGTATCTCTGTGTGTTTTAGACGATGCACTGCAACTAGTCAGTGACAAAAACAATGAATCTAATATACAAGCTCAGGCACCGAAATGCTTGTGTGTGTCATAGAGTCACACCTTTACACCCAAATAATAAAATGAGAGGCTTCGGCAAGCTTCCATCTCCAAAATCCCACTGAAATGGAATGATGAGAAAACCGTGTAAGTGCAGCTTTGATCCAAAGCACATCAAGAAGGAGGGGGGGGGAGTCTACAATGGCCATTTTGCACAATGATTGGGAGGGGATCAGGCCCTCAGTAAAGTTGATTGTTCCTTAAAACTAGGTTTGAAGCATTTGACCCACCTCCCTGGCAAGAATGCAATGTCTCAATAAACTCCGAGTGCTCAGAAATGAACAAGGAGCCAAACTCTTCTCTTGGCGAGTTTTCTCCAGGGCTCAGCTTCAACTTCTTTTACATCACAGCAGGAGTCCCAATACCCTCTGGCCTTATATCAGAACATGCCTGCCCCTTTCTGGTCTTTAATAAGTCTTCACCCCTGTAATCTTAAGGGGCCGCCTGCATTCTCTCTGCCCTCCGAACAATCTGCCTGCTGAACAGAACAAATGCAGCCAGAATAAATTATGGAGACCCAGCAAAAGAATTTGCTGTACTTCGCTTCAAAGGATCAGGTCTCCTAAGCAGACTTATTTATCTTTCTTACCTCTGCAACTAAGAGGGAAATGGAATTCTCCTTCTGTACAGGCATGGGGGATACACTGAGGTTGAAAAATCTATCACTGCAACTGCAGGCTACCAATCTCAGTCCTCCTCTTCCCTTAGGACATGGATGGCTAACAGGCATGCGTTGTGGGAAGTTTTGATTTAATCTTGAAACATTCACAAATGCATCCACAAAACTAGAAAATGATGATCATTTTCATCATCATTCAGCCTAGTTTCCCCTGTGTAGTGCACACACATGATCTCAGTAAACCTAGCAACAGCCTTGCTAGGCTGGGTCAGCATCTTTTTATGTATGGGTGAAAGGTGTCTGCACCAGGAAGTACGTGGCAGGAATCCACAGCTGGGAATGCAGGCTGTGGTGGATGGAGGCGTAAGGGCAACCCATACTTGCCCAGCCAAGGACTGGACTCCCGGCAAGATGTGGCAGTGCCAGACATGCAGGCAAAGTCAGGCACAGGTGTGAGCCAAGGGCTCGCAAGACTAGTGGCAGAGAGCAAGTCGGCAAGACAAAGCAGCCCCCATAAACACCCCACTGATCCAGCAAAGCTGAGCAGGCCTGCGAAGCCTCTCAGAGCCTCCTGTAGCCCCCTGCTAGCCTGCAAGACTGGCCTGGTCCTGGTCCTGGTCCTGGAAGTACCTGCAGCTGCCAATCCATCACGTGCTTGCAGGTGGATCAGGCTGCATTCCATCAGGTCAGTTTGCAGATCCCAGCAAAGGGGGTGCGTTGAAAGATAATGCCTGGCAGATGGCTATCCTGGCAATAAGTGGATCAGCATCCTCATGTGCCCTCATGCCCCTTAACATCTATGGGGGAAGCCCTGCTCCAGGAAGCCCCTCTAAGAGAGGTGAAAAGGTCATCAACTCGGAGTAGGGCCTTCTCTGCTGTGGCACCCAGACTCTAAAGTGTGCTTCCCAGAGAGGTACGCCTGGCGCTGAGCTTATACTCTTTTTGGCACCAGGCCAAAACCTTTTTATTTAAACAGCATTTTAAACTCTAATAGTTTTTAAGTTTAGTTACTCTGTTTTGTGATTTGTTTTGTTCTGTTTTATTATTTATTGAAACTGTTTTTAAATATTGTAAGCCGTCCTGAGATCTTGTGTAATAGGACAGCATAAAAAAGCTTTTGATGAAGAAAGAATATAAATTACATCATGGTGCTGCCTAAACTGCAAGTCATCCAGCTGGTGAGCAACACTTTCTGCAGCTCCCTCAGCCCCATTACCTAAAACTTCTCCCACATGCTGCACCCAGTTCTGCCCATGGAAGCCCTCCCTATAATCCATGATAGCTAAATGGAACTCAGTGTTTAGAAGCAGCACACCATGTGGACATCAGTTGCTGGGGTCAAATGAGGGAGCATTGGCATAATGCCAGTCCTCTATCGTTTACACCGGCTGCCAATTGAAGTCTGGGCCCAATTCAAGGTGCTGGTGATGACCTATAAAGCCCTAAACAGCTTGGGTCCTGGATACCTGAAGGAGTGCCTCTTTCCCTATGTGCTTGACCTCCCCTTAAGATCTGAGGTGGAGGTCCTGCTCCAGGAGTCCTCCTTGAAGGAGATCAGGAGGGTGACTACCCGGAGAAGGGCCTTCTTTGCGGTGGCACCCCATCTATGGAATATGCTCCCCAGAGAGGTTCGCCTGGTGCCAACACTTTATTTCTTTTCAGTTATCAGGTTTAATAGGTTTTAATCTGGGTTTTATCATATTGAGATGTTGGATGCTGTGCTTTGCTTTATTTATTGCTTGTTTATTTCATTCTATTCATTGCTTTTGTTGTAAGCTGTCCTGGGACATCAGTGGTGGACAGGTAATAAAAGCTTTAAATAATAAATAAATAAATAAATAAAATGTTCATGTCCCACTTCCTAGAGGCACTTTTGGTTGACCATGACTGGAAACAGATTGCTGGTGATGGAAAGGTGACTGACTCAAGAGCATGAACTGAATGCAACAGGAAGGTGGGACCTGAGCTCCCGGCACCAAAACCCACCCGCACACTCAAAACGTTTCTCCCTTCCAAAATACTGTGATTCTTTGATCTAGATGTGTGTCTTGATGCCACAGCATGTTTTATTTTAAATTGTTCTTCCCTGCACCTTTCCTTCAGTCTTCCATCTTTCCGTGTTTGCAGGAGGAAAAAGAAAACCGAACAGCAGGCTCAAAGGTTATGTGGTACATAAAGATGTTGCAGCAATGGGCTTGGTTTCTTAACTCTTACAGATACTGTAGTCTTACTGGTCTGGGCAAGTATTCCCACATGTTCCTTTTGCCCAGTGAGAAATACTAACAACCTATCTCAAGTTGTTGTTTGCACAGACAAAACAGTACAGGAATAAGGTGCTCAGGGGCACTTGAGAGTTTGTAAAAGTGCAAGTTTTATGGGAGGGAATCCCGGAACACTCCAATGAAGACTGAACATGCTCAGTGGGCATGGAATGCTGACTAACATTTTCTCCATTTCCTTGAGAGTGCACAACAATACAAGAGAAGCTTAGACTTTCTTGCGGGGGGCGGGGGACATGGCAACAGCAGAGAGAGAGACAGAATGAAGGTAAGTTGCCTGCAGTTCCAAGTCTTATTTTTGCAAGGCTAGAATAGGTGGTTTTTGGATTCTCTGCAGTCAGGATCCATATACTACATGTTCATAGAATACCTGTGTGAGTTTAATTAGAAAGCTGAAATTTAAAAAATGAAATTGATCCCACACATGCAAACACAGACTTATATAATCCAACTATTAAGATATCCATCTTGATGGCTAGTCATGATAAACTAAATTGAATTTTTTGTCTTAACATACAGACTTTGAATTTTTGTAATGCTGTCCCCTGTGGGTAATATTTCACAAGAGTATTTCTGCACAAGCTTCACCTTAAATTCCTTGGATGAGCGAAGGAAAGGAGGGCCAGATCAACAAATCCCTAACAAATCCTGTCTTGTTGACAGACAAGAGTTGGGGCAGGGATGAGCAGAAATCCAAGGTAAGCACTTCCTTTGTAAGCAACTTACTTCGTTCAGAGGAAAGATGTGTCTTGGCTTGTCCTCTCACTAGCCGGCATGTCGAACCATCCCCTGCACAGACACCGCAGTCGTCTTCCTGGGCTTGACTCCCGAGTTGACGATCACAGCCTACCACCTGCCAAGACCAACGTCAGCATCAAGAGGGCAGCAAAACCACCACAGGCCACAGCATTTTGTTAACACAGCGGCAGCAACTTCGGATGCTACTCCCATGGATGCCTCTTGGCTTTGCAACTTCTAAGCAGGTGGCTTACAGCAACTATTCCACGACTGATTTCATTTCAGGCTAAAGCTATCAAACCCATTTTGGTATCCCTGCATAAGGAATATGGGAATTTCCTCTAAGCTGAACACCATTTCCCCCAGTGCAACTCAGGATATCTGTTAACTGTGTTGTTTAGGACTTGCTTTTCACCACCTCCTTGCTTCAGATGCAAGAAAAACATCAGGATAACCATCCAAGAAGGATCCTGGCTCCAGATCAAGAAGAAAGAACTTTTGGCTGGCTGCATATTACTATCATATCATAAACAAGCCCCTTCCCAGGTATTAACTCACCTGCTTTTGCATTTTTGGAAAACCTTAAGGTAGCAATTATTTCACTGTTTCACTGATTTTTTTCCAGATACCAAACAGGATAAATTAAACAAAACACGGCATGCAGAGAAGTATATATCTGCTAAATGCATGAGCCATTGTGCTTTTATGAATGGTTTTTGTATCATTTTGCATGATCTGATGGCTGTCTTCTAGTCTCCCCTGTTAACTGTCTGGAAATATATTATTTAATATAACGGATATTATTACACTAATATGTGTGTGTTTATGTTTAACACCATATCATTAGAACTCTAAATTGTTGGCACCAAAACTATCAGCGCATTATCAATGCAGATAAATTCCTTTACAAATCACTAGTTCATTCCTCAGACATGCCTTGTTCTGCACTGCCACAGCCCATTTTGCCACTTCCGCATGTTAGCCATTTACCTTTGCCACAGAGGAGGTCTCTGCTCTGAACCAGCTCAGCAGCACTTGCTGCACCGCAAGGAACTGCAAAAAGCAGCAGCAGCGTTGGGCGCTTGGATGGGACCTGCAGAGCCACAGCCTGCTTGACTGCGCCATCCAAGGACAAAAACAACGGTTAGGAGGAGAAAGCAGAAGGGACCACCTCCTCTAGGACCCTCCTCAAACACTGTACAAGCAGCAGAGCAGCAACAAAGGGTGGAGTGAAGGCCAGGAAGCAGCCAGGATGCACTGCAGCACTGATGCCGCCAACCAATTCCGGACTGTGAACCTTTTTCCACCTCCGCAGGCCCTCTCAGGAGCGAAGGCCAAGACAGACACTGGGACGCAGTAATAGCCCTTCCTATCCAGATCCTGCTCAGATCACTTTGCACAGCAGGATCAGATGATTAGACAGAAGGTCATAAAAGGAGCAGTGCAGGATTGGACCAAAGTCTTAACCAGTCCTGCCACAAGTAGGACATGAGTACAATAGCACTATCCTGCTCATGTTCCCAACAGAGGAACACTGTCTGGGTTGTTTGTTGTCAAGTCACTTGCAGCTTGGGGCAACCCTATGAATGAATGCTTTCCAATTGTTCTGTCCTTTACAGCTCCACTCAGTTCTCGTTAACTCAGGCTATGGCTTCCTTTGAAGTTCTCCATCTCATATTTGGCCTTCCTCCTTCAGCTTCTCCTAGCACCACTGTCTTCTCTAGTGACTCTTGCCTTCTCATGGTGTGCCTGAAGTAGCCATCAGGAAGGGCTTCTATTTAGTTACCTTCTTTGATGCAAGAGCATGCAAGTATTTGTGTATTTAGACCATGGAGTCTAAAACCAAAGCCTGTATACCACTACACATTTCCTTTTAATTGTTCTGCAGCCAATTAGTTTTTAACATGCCAATTAGTTTTAGCTTCTCCTCACTTGCCCCTGAACTTCGCTAACAGGTTCTGAGATACTACTTTGAAACCAGCCACACAAACTGCTGCATGTTCAGGCCTTAGTGGATGTCTCTCCCCATATTTTTAAATGCTTCCTTCCAGCAGAGCATGCGCGCACACACACACAGGTGTGAAGAAGAGACAAGAAAGTGGCTGGATTATGTTTAGCATCAGGATTCTTTGGAGGACAGTTTTATAAAATGTTCCTTCTGCAGACCTTCTCACACTTTCTAAGAGTCTTGCCGAGGAGTCTGGAAAGCCCGTTGCCAAAAAGATAGGTATCTGTAAAGAGGGTTTTCAAAATATCACTTTCCTATTTTTCCTGCTAGAAGATGAAACACAGCCCTTTCCCAAAACAACTTTCCTCCAAGCTGGCTACAAAAGAAGAAAAGGTCACATCGCACAGGGACAGTATTTTCAAGGAGAAAGATGGCGGAACCTTCTGGATAACATTGTCTCAGCAAGTGTAGAGGAACGGCTAGTGACATCCAGGAGTTGTGTGAATGGATGGAGGAGGCTAATCCAGGTTGTGCTGGCTGGCCCTGCCAAACCTCACCAAGTTCAAGCATCACACCTGCAGAGACCTCATGAAAATACACACACACAGCAACTGCCATACATACAGCTTGGTACCCTGCAACAGGACTGGCAGGAAGCCCTGCCATTTTGGAGCAATGCCTGGGGTTCTAGAGCTCTGAGAGATAATCACTGACCCCTGCTTTGGGTGCCCCCTTTTATTCCACCCCCACAACACATGAAATGCTACCAGTCAGCTGGATGACTGGCTCTAGCTGTGGGAAATTGCAGTGCTGGCTAGCCCCGAGTGTCTGGTGTGCTGCAGCTCTACCAGATAGGCCAAGCCAGGTGCATGAGGTAGCTATAGGAAGGAACGTGGTCCAGGACCCTCTTAAACCTGGATCTGATCCAGCTGTGGAAAACAGGTTGCTGGACCACACAATGGGGTGTACACACAGGTTGCACACAGACATGGCTTAAAATGCTCACACGTGAAGGACAGGAGCAGCCGAGGGCCCAACCTGGTTGTCCATTCCACCATTTGTATGAATCCCCAAAAAGGGCTGCAGCTGGCCAACAGTGAGACCGGAAACCAAACATCCAGGAGTTAGGCATTTTTGGAAACCCAAGTGGCCAATTCACCAGCAAAGCCTTTGATGTTAGATAGTGCCTGAGAGATCAACAGATCTATCAATGGCAGTGTTACCCAAATAATTTCATTCATTCCTTCTGTTTGGGATCGTGTAAAGATTCAGACAGTGTATGGGAATTACATCAAGCAATTTGAAGCAAAGGCTGTTATACAAGTTTTTGTTGCCTTCACACAATGGCACGAGTGCGAGGGCTCGTGTCCAGTGGGACCCCCTTCCTCCGCTGGTTCTGTTGCCCCTGGAGGAGCCACCTCTCCCGCAGCACTTCAAAAAATAGCCCCCAGAATGAGTGCACAGCACCCATGTTTCTGGATGGGGACAGGTCAGCAGAACTCCTCCTGGGAGGCCCACTGAACTGCCAGTCCTGGGAAGGAGCATTCTGCTTGGGCTGAGCAGAGCCCCACTGCATGAGTGGCCATGGCGGTGGGATTATGGGGATGCTACCCCAGGTACAAGAGGAATCCAGGATTTGATAGCTCTGAGCCCGCCTGCAATATGCAGGCATGTGCCTTCCTTGTTTTCTTAAAGGGTCGTCCATGCAATAAAGCGGAGGTGAGCCTATTGCTGGAAATGGGCAGTGCTACTAAAATACTCAGGGCAGTAAGGGACAGATAATAGGTCAATTTCTGATTCTCATCTTCCCATCTTAATTTTATTCTGTCTAGTTTCCACATCAGTTGACAGTTTCCTAACATCAGTATAGAATATTCCATGCACACTACCCTAATACAATTTTTGCAAGCAGTTTCCTTTGATCTTATTGTTTTATACATATCCTAATATGCACATATCCATGTGTGTGCTTTTTTCTAATACTATTTACTTAAAGTATTTCTAGGCCACTTTTAACTACAGAATGCTCGCATGGTAGACTGTGAGACAATAAAAAATACAGGACTGTGAAACAGAATAGACAAAGCAATAAATACATGTTCAATATAAAGACTTATAAAGGTTAATATATTTTATTTCATATTTGTTCCAAGAAGCATTCTGCCAGACTACTACCAAAGCAGAACTGTGTTCTCATTCACATATGGATCTGAGATGTGCAAAGCTAGACTGTTCATATCCATGCATGAATGGAATGAAATTCTCAAGGGTCACCAGAGAGAACTGGCAACAGGGAGGACTTTTCAGCTGGCAGCAACCTCAGCCTCCCAGCCCTCTCCTTTGTTAGGCAGGGCTGGGTTCAGGATTCATCCCAATCCCAGAACTTGCTTCTCCCGTTTTGACCTCCTATGGATAACATTAGCATGTGAAAGAAACAAGGGGAGATGGCATGTTTCCCACAGTACATTATACGGAGCAATGTAATCCCACTGTGTGAGTGAGAAGAAAATGTTACGCTTTTGTTTATCTATACACTGATTTCCAAATACCGGATTCAGCTTTCCAGAATGCATCTTCCGTGCGCCATATCTGAATGACCCACTCACTGCACTGGTTAGTGGGAGCTGCTGTGCCAGAGACCCTGGGAAGCAACCTCCCATGGGCCCCAGCCGGGTGCAGCTATCGCGGTTGTTTCCCAGGGCGAAGCAGCCCACCCCGGGCAATGACTCTGGGGGACTTTAAAGGGGAGCAAATGGTTCACGGATCACATCTCAACTTTACTAAATTTAGTCCCAGCTTGCCAACATAACAAGTTGCTTTTAAACAGTGTATCATAAAAATATTGTTTCATCCCCTCTTATCTTTTCAGCCTCTGCCTCCCCTTCAATATGCTTCCCACCAGTTCAGTTCTCCCCTAATGTGCCATCCTCATTTAAAAAGAATTACAGGCTGCATCCAGAGTGAGGAATGCATGTGGTGGACCCACAGAAATCAAAGGGGCTCAAATTGGTCCAAATGAATTGAAGTTGCATTAATTTCAAGTCGGTCTCTCCTCAAACTGGCTTAGTTATTCTACAACCAGCCCTATGAATTTTATTAAACGAGTCTTTGACACCTGGGCAGCATTCACAGATTCAGCAAAAAGATAAACCGGTCAGAATCAAGGG